ATTGCTGATGTTTAATTGACTTCAGGCCTATCTAGAGAAACACTCTGTCGCCTTGACTATTAGCTGGCCAGTCACATGTCGTCCCTGCATGAGGCACACTCGCATTCAAATGCAGCTGCGATTCTGACCCCTACCGAATACATGTCTCATTACGAAAAGAGCTGATCAATATCTAATTGTTTCACCATTACCCACTGTCGTTATCGCAGAAGGGTGCAAAAACAATCGAAATTGCAATTCCAATTCGAAGAGTAAGCGAACAGATCCTCAATCTCCGAGATCCTGATCCTCAAGCTTCGACATGCTGCCGAAAGTAGTCTCGGAAGCACCTTTGCTTTGTGATTCTCTCGAATTCTCTCACAGCTAGGCGACCTGTATCTCTAGTAGTGAATTTGATGGTGGAACAAGCAAACAGAGCTCGATTTTTATGTTGTTGTATGGCGCCACGGTTCTGTTGAACGTCAATTATTGCACTTTACTCATTCTATGAAGCAGTTCTGATGACCCCACTTCTCGTGACTACTTTCTTCTCTCCATAGAAGCTCCTTACATGTGTGGAAGTCTTGCACCCTCTGAAGGGTTTACTCCATGTAATATTTGCTTACAATTAGGTCAACTGGTAAGTATGACGGTATTTGATTTGTATGTTCCTGGACCCGTACGTATTGTTTCAAAACGGGGCTGTTCGGGGTGTTGGAGTCAAGCGACATAATGGAAAAAGGAGCGTGAGTGCAGCGAGTGCTGGATTTCAGCTCACAAATGTGACCGACTAGCAAGAAATCAGCTTTTTTTGTACCTAAAGGTACCAAATTGAGGAATATTGCGCTCCCGAGATACCAACTGACCCCTAAAAGGCTTGCTGAGCTGAAATCAGTTGAGTGCGTGTGTGAGCAGGGTGCAGCTCCTGATCTTAAGCTTCCTCGTCTACCCAATGGATTATTTTCAGTAAGCGGTTCCTGAGGTAACCCACTCACCGCCAGCTGGTGGTCTTGCGGCATCTGTTGTGGCTCATCATGATACAGCATGATGGAGTCAAAGTCGATCACCCCTTGGGCCCGTGTTAAAACACGGACTGAGAAGGTGACTTGTACGATAGGCCAGAGGATGTTAAATCCCAAGAAATGATGCATCCGAGAATCTTTGGCAGATTTACATTCCGAAATAGCGCACCGTGACCTACCTTGTTTGCAAGCAGATGGTTAGTGCTGAATTTTCAGCAAGGTGCATGAAGCTGACCGACGTTACAAGCAAGAAACCAAAACTATCGGCTACTGTTTTGCGTTTCGGAAGCGTTCACTAGGTATACGTGCAGACAGTTCACTACTACGTGCCTAATCGTTGAGCCAGTTATCACTAAAAAGTCACTGCGATGTCCTATAAAGTGCAGAAACGATTGACACAAGTGCTTGTTTCTGAGTATCGCACACATGATCAATTATAAGAAATGCATAACAGAACGCATTTCATACATTCTAAATTGCCTTATCAGAAGTGGGTACAAGAATCAGTGCGCGCCTTGATTTTGCTCTTCACGATGCAGTTACGTTCGAGACGCGACATGTTCGTTTTTGCACCATTTATTCAAGCTATCTTTGTTTCTAACGTCATTTTTGCTGAAAGTTGCGAAGGATTGCACGAGGGACGGGTTTGTAATAGAATCAGGGTTGGCTAAGTGAATGATCCACTTCGGATCCCAAAAATTATTTTGGTTGTCAATCCACTCTGCATGATGTTGTTCATCGATCTCGTTGATGTATCGTAGCGTTTGGACCATAATTGCACGCGCTGCTCGCCGTGCCGATCAAATCAAAGCACTGTAGGCGGCACAACTGTTGCACCAAATTTCACTTTTATTGTACAAGTGGTTTTTTCAGCAACCGTGATGACTACTCTAACTGTGCCAACAATCCTCTCGGACTACTAGTGGATCAAAATGGGTAATCATTTTTCTGGTGTTTTGTTCGAAATTTTACCTCTCATTCTTTCCCAAGTTCATTTTCTCTGTCATGCTATGTACTCCCGTACAATGTAGACCTTTTCTTGACCCAAATTGTCTTTCTTTGTGATTCCCGGGTAAACATTGATGTTGCAGAACAGCCACTGGAATAACGGAGTACCAAGCACTCGGATATACGAAAATCTTCAATCAATTCGATTTTTCTTGCGGCGCTGGTTTCACTGGTAATGTGTCCTTCATTCGGAGCCCAGTACTGCCACAAAGCATTATTTAAGAGTTTGCCAACAACGACGATTGTGCGGCGAGTGTATTTCTCAATGGCGTCGCCGATATGAGGACATGCGACAAAAACTTTGCTGCTTCCATTGCAAAGGACCCAAATGTTATGAATAGATGCGCGTGAGTTAGTCCTGTTTCACTTTTCGAAACATTTCGGTGTTTAAAGTTCCTCCTAACTCCAAGGTGAGACCAGAACGTATTCTTCTTTTTGTGACACGAAACATGCCTACGTTTCCTCGGGTTATTTCTTATCCGCCGTATCATAACAGCGACTCTCTCCAATAATTTTTGTTCCACAACAGTAAGCACAACAAAACAGGTCCTTCAGTTCTTTCAGAACCTTTAGCCTACAATATTTAAAGTCAAGGAGTAGTCAGAAGACCGTACAGTGTTCGGAGATCAGCTGTTAATACATATGTAGGAGACCCACAGTGGGCCTTCTCAGAGCCTCTTGTGCAGGGTCAACCGCGCATTGCGCAGACTTCAAATTCTTACGACCCCCTCCCCTACGGAGGGCATCGGTACGACCCCCTGTATTAGCCACTGTGTCTTTTTACATACACTGCGACGCATAATTATAGTTCCACCTACAATTCCAGTACCCGGCTGGATATCATTTTCTCACGATACGG